GAGGTGGTGCGATGGTTGATTTATGCGGCAGCAGCTGATTGGTATAGGGTTGTTGGTGTGGCTGAGCGAAGTAGGGGAGTTAAGAGGGGTTGTGATTGGTAAGTGCGGTTTAATGGTGTTGAAGTGTGCTGATGGTTAATTCGGTGTGGATGGTGAAGGTTGTTTCCTAATGATGGTGGAGCGGTGTTGCTGCTTGATTGTTATAGCGAATCCGGGAAGACGCCATTGGCTGGGTATGGTTGTTTCGGCGAGTGGTTAGGGTAGGAAGAAGAAATGATTTTTTTTTTATTCTTTAATTTTTAAAAAAATTATATATAAAACCCAATTAAAAGGTGACCGTGTCAAATTACCTTTTAAAACAGGCTACCAATTCAATCAACCGGTCATTCAATGAAAAAGGTTCATTTTGGAAAAGATGGGGTTACAAGGTGGGATTATTTCTGGAATTCAAATAGGTGGGATTATTTTGAGCAGATGCGCGAAAGGTGGGATTATTCTTTTCAATTTTTCCTACATGTAATGTGCAATTTTGGAATATTTTATATCTCACAAATAATACCCCAAAGTTGCACATAATATTTAACGGAGATAGTATATGAAAGTATTGAGATACAAATTAGAAAAGAATGAAATTTTAATCAATCAAATTTCTTACGTGATTACATGCATAGATAAAGTATTTATATATAATTTTAAGCTATATTAGTTGTTATACTTCCATTTTGTTATGCTCCTTATGTTAGAATTAGGATTGAAACCAACTAAAGCATTTAAAGAAAACAATGTACACATTTTACAATACATTTTATGACAGATGCAGATTTTCGGATCACCATGTTTTCTCGCTCAAAAAACTGAGTTTTATTCGATAACTAATTAGGAACTGGTCCCTTAATAAATAAAAGTTTTGGGGTGTGGATTGGAAGAATTTAAGTGATGAGCTATCAATAGAAGGGGAGGCGGTTCATTCTATCTCAAACTCTTCCTCGTATTTATTCAATATAATTAATTCAAAAGAAAATATATTGTTACAGTATAGCTCCAATTCTTGATATAACGATGTAAGAAGAATAGGATTCTAAAAGGTGATTGCCCTTCTAAACTCCTGTTTTCGAAGGTTAAGGGTCGTCGAATGAAGAACTTTATCTCTTCCTTGTTGGATGACCAAGGCCTTTTACAAAGTGGTCAGAGGTTCAAAGAATTGTTGTCCATTCGCTGGGAAACTTTTAAGTGTGATGCTATTCCAAATTATGATCTGAAGATTGATATTGTCCTGCATATCTTCCTTCGCTTACTTCTGCTCGGGTTAATAAATTGGAATGACCTTTTAACACTGTGGAAATACAGAATGCTATGTTTGATTTAGGGAATTGTAAATCCACTAGTCTGGATGGTGTTAAGGTAGAGTTTTTTAAACTACATTGGCATACGGTTGGGGATTATGTTGTTTTAGCGGTTCAAAGTTTCTTTCACACTAGTTTAATTCTAAGGGAATGCAATCAATCACTCGTGATCCTGATTCTAAAGATTACTTCACTGACGCAGGTCACCCACCTTTGTCCCATTAGCCTCTGCAATACGATCTACAAATGTGCTTCTAATAGCTTTGTTGCAAGGATTCGCCCATACTTACCTTTTCTTATAGGTGATTCTCAACATGCTTTCGTCCAAGGAAAGGTTATGTCAGATAATATCCTTATGTCCTATGAGTAGCTAGAAAAAATTAACTCTGCTAAGACTGGTTCCAATTGGGTTAATGCGCTTAAAATCGATATGAGTAAGTCATACGACATAGTTCACTGGAGTTTCCTTTCACAAGTTCTTCAGGCCCATGGATTCCCTGCTTCATGGCTTCAAATGATTCAACAATGCATCTCTACCGTCTCTTATAAATCTCTCATCAATGGCAATACTTCTGATTCTTTTAGACCTAACTATGGTCTTCGTCAGGGGGACCCTTTGTCCCCTTACCTCTTCCTTTTCTCCATAGATATATTTTTCCTGAATGCTACACTTGGGACAAGATTTACATTAGTTTTAGGTATTAAAATATCCGAGGAAAGCTCGATCATCTCCTGTTTATTCTTTGTTGACAATGCGATGGTTTTCTTTAGAGCTAGTACCTCTTCCTGCACTAATATCCTCCAGATCATCAAACGCTTCACCAAAATTTCAGGAGAGGAGTTTAACCTCCACAAGTCACTAATTAAACTTAATCCTAACATTCCTCTCTGCAATATGAATTTAAGGCAATACTGCGAATGACACAGGTTTAGGGGTTTGATCGTCATCTTGGATCCCCTATTGATTTTGTGGGGAAGAAAAAGGATTGTTTCCAATTTTTGATTGACAAAATAGTGGGTTGTATTACGACGCCCAATGATGTCCGTCTTACGGAATCAAAATTTTAATTTCATTAACTCCATTTTGGTAGCTATGGCATCTCATCTTCTTTCTTGCTTTGAAATTTCGGTTTCAGTAGCAGGGAAAATTGATTCCCTGTTACTAAAATTTTTCCAGTCCCACTCGGGAAGTCAGGGTATGCATTGGGTTGGTAAAGGGGAGATGCATCTTCCCCGGGGTATGGGTGGATTGGGAATTCGTTGTATCTCGACTTTAAATAAATCTCTTCTTATGAAGCAAATTTAGAGAATTTTAACAACCCTCAGCTGCTCATATCCAAAGTCTTTACTGCTCGTGCTCAATTCTTATCCCGTACTCCATCTCCTACTCGACGCTATTTGGCTCGGAGCTCTTTCGACCTTCGAGGTGTACTTCAAGCATGACCTACTCTCTAAAGGGTGTAGCTAGAAAGTTGGTAATGTCAACTCCATACTTGCAGGACAAGCTAATTTGAGCAATGGTACTATTCTTGAATTCTAAAAAGGGATCCTCCTATATACGACAAAGGATTGGATGATAAATTACTATATTCATCCCTAAACTTTATCCTAGGATGTTGATAAGGTACAGCAGTGTTTCCGACCCTCGGATGCTTCTACAATTCTTTCTATGGAAGATCCTGATGTAAATGAAGCTGACTTCCATTTTTGGGCGCGCACTGTTTTGGGGAATTATTCGATCAAAACGGGTTATACACTACTCATACAACAGGCTTATCGCTTCTCCTTAACTGGAAAACCCTTTGGTCCCTTCATTTACAACCAAAGTGGAAACTATTCTTATGGAAGTGACTCCATAACGGTTTAGCACTTAAAAGTGAGCTTCAACACCGAGGGGTCCCAAATTAGGAAGTGACTTGTGCAGTACACATATCGAGGATTTTAACCATCTGTTTAGGGTTTGCAAAATTGCAAGGGCAGCACGAAGGGGTGAAAGTTTGGACATCCACTCACAAGCACATGGACACCTTTCTCTCTCAGATTGGATCCACGATTATATCCTACTTTTCATTAGTCAAGATGAAATTTTGAGTTCCAACATCAGCACTTTCGTTGGTACTCTTTGGGGTCTTTGGTTATTTAGGAATAACATGGTGTTCAATCCTGATACGCCTATTACGCAACTTGTTGAGTTGCACATCTTTAACATCCTACAATCCCACACTATCTTTATGGATGCGGATGATGCTGTGCAAGCTTCCCCCTCTTCTTCTATTCATGGGGGGTTCTCCCCCACTAGGATTTCATGTAGCTCATTTGGGGATATCTCGTACAGGCTCTAACTTGTTTCAGATTCATATTTATGGAGCATGGTACACAGACACAAGACACGCAGGAGTGGGATGGTGCCTTGATAATGTAGATTCTCTCGATGAAAGGATTATTGGAGGGAGTAATTTCGGGCTTTGCACTTCACCTCTCTATTCGGAAGCCTTAGCTTGTTTGTATGCTTTACAATAGGCATCAAATCATCACATCTAGTCGCCTATAATATTTAAGGATTCTTACAATGTTGTCACTCTTTTGTGAGGCGATGGTCGGGGGGTTATATCCTACTTATGGCTGGTACAACAAATACAACATCTTGGATCCACCTTTCAAACTATGATATTTAAAAGACAGACATACATCGTGTTCATAGGGCTCACCAAATTGCATCTCCCGTCCTTATTTGCTTTAGTAGTAATATGTATTAGGTTTATTTTTCCTTTTATCCTTTATCAAATATATATATATATATATATATATATATATATATATATATATATATATATAGCTGAAGATTAAAAGATAAAAAAAAATATATTATTTTTGTATGCAATAAGTAGGATAGTTCTTTAAAAAAACATGCAATAAGTAAAAAAAACAGCACCAGGAATTGACACGTGTCATTTCTATTGTCTGTGTATTATGTTAAAGTGAAAGATAACTCAATTATTAGTAAAAAAAAAAAAAAAAAAAAAAAAAAAAAAAAAGGAAAGACAACTCAATTAGAGGTCTAAAGGAAACTGCTAATTTTGAATTGAGTTGGTGCTTCTACGTACCTTGGACTTGAACTGCTAATTTTATCTTGGACAAAATCATCAATTGTGTTAGTGATATCAGATGTCTCCGAAGGTTTAAGGTAAAATCTCTATTTTAATAAGCAATTTTACTTTGAACCAATACTAGATGCACAGTTTGTTTGAATTTTTTAAAATAATTGTTTTTATATATATATTTATGTGCTAAAATTTGGTATATATTTAGATAAAATCCTAATATCAAAAGATAATATTTTATAATTAATTAATTTAAATTGGGAAATCTCATTCGTCAATTTTACTTACGTGTCATTTAAATTATTTCATTCTAAAAGAAATTAAATAATTTTGTATTTAATTGGCTACCACTAAAATTTATTATCCTACATGGCGCGCTAAAAAAAATTAAATTCTACGTGGCTTTCTAAAAACTCGGGATATATATATATATATATTAGATTTTTTTAAAAGGGGCATAGTTAGGTAAATGACATCTTCAAGCATATTATGTGAAAGTAATTTAGGGTTATTTATAGAGCTTGTAAAAGAAACAAAACAAGGGCCAGATCTCTAATATAGGCAATGGGTTTGCAACCCTAATTAGCTTCACCTGAAGTCCTGAACCATGACAGAATAAAATCTTAGCTTCCAAATTGACGCCTTCAAAGCTCCAAGTCATGGTATATATAAAAAAATAAAAATAAAAATGTATGTATTCGAAATAAAATACTAACTACATACGTCAATCAGGTTACATCCTTTGATCCTAATGTTATGTTCCGTTACTTACATCACCCCTTGTACCTCTATTCCGATCAAGCTGAACAACATCATGTGGCATCGGCCAAAACCGCAATTGGATAGCTCTAAAGGTGAAATAAGGGAGAAGAGTGGAGAAGACAACGAAAACAATAATTATCCAATATAAAGGACTGGGAGCGCAGACCTCTACTAAAATCAGATAAGCCGATTTTGAAAAGGTAGGAGGAAGAGTACCATATATGAGCAGGAAAATGTACCACAAGGCTATACTACCCCATATGACGAAATGCTGTATCCAAGTAAAGTAGTTGATGGACAGTGCCATTTGACAATTGACAGTCCAGACTACACAACTGTACATTGTAGCTGCCAACACTGAAAAATCAACCACACGGCCATCACTCCGAAATGCATGGTGCTTCAGAGAACTAGTGGTCAAAAAGAAGATAATCATTGAGCTACAGAGACCATTGAACATCCACCCAAGTATACGTGGCCAACTGTAAAGGATGTTCTCAATTCCCTCAGCATATAAGTCAGGATTCTGCAAAAGTCAATTGGAAAGTTAGGGTAATGGGAAACTCCAATTTATGTTGCTTATTGAAGGATGTTTAATGTTTACTACCTTTAAGCAAAGCCGTGCTGAAACATCTTGATCAAATACACCAAGTGCAATCACCGGAAGTGAAGTGAAAAAGACATTATAGGTCGACAAGTACCAATCATTATACGCAGGTTGAGCAGAGAAAGAAGAATGTGTTTCGAACCAAAAAAGAGTTAGCCCAAATGTAATGTTCTTATAGAAGAAGTAACATATCTGCATTCCCAAAAAAAAAAAAAAAAAAAAAAAAAAAAAAAAAAAAAAAAAAAACAAATTAGTCTATAAACACCTATCTATAGAGGATATCCACAAAATAACCATTTTAGTTATTTTAGGCTTGATGGGTCAATACCATCGTTGATATACGCCTGTAACACCAGTGACCATGCAGAAGCAATAAGCGCTCAAGAAAACGAAATTGAGCAATGTTGACATCACTTGACATAGCGGCCTGCACAAATCATTGAGTGAATCATAATCTAGGTAATGTAGTTCTGCATTTTTATAATAATAGCAATGTAGCAAATGCAGAAAAAATTTAAAAATTAAAAAAGAAAGGAAGATATAATAAACTGGGAATTGTATTAGTTAGATTTCAAGAGGTAAGAGGAGATCAAACTCTTCTTTACTCGAAAAAAATAAAAATAATGCACGTAGATGAGGTAACGAGCGAGCTTCCATGAGCCCCTTGGGCTTCTTCTGGTTAAATCACAAGAAACCAATGTGGTGGCATTCTGGCTCTGAAATGACTATTGAGATGGTACTTTTAAAAAATAGGATGGTTTCTAACAGCTTGAGACTGCACCCAAATATGGTATATGATTGAAGGAAATACAATGATTTATTGAAGCAATGATGAAAACGAGTATAAGAGCTTCATCGCTTGGGAGATTGGTTGTTTTGAAGAACCATACCTTTTTTTTCATTAAGGTTAGGCCACTTGGAAATGAAGTTTGGCTTCAAGAGCTTTTCAATGATAGATCATGCCCAAATGACAAAATGGAAGAGATTTACATGCTTTAAAATTATTTGTAAGGGCTGTCCAAGAATTGACCGAACTGTTAGGTCAAGCAACCTCCTGCAACATTTGTTTTCCAGCTTCTCCATTACTGGTGACCAACTTAATAGGTAAACTGACCCAGTCAGATAACTTATGCTGATGGCATGCAATGTAGAGTTTCTTCACTTTTACTATAATTAATCTTACCTCATAACATATACTCCCTCCGTTTTAAATATTTGCTCCCTCCGTTTTAAATATTTGCTCCATCTCTCTTGGACACGCATGCCGATGCTAATCTTTGATCACTAATATCTTTAATAATCAATAAGTATAAATTCTAACAATTGAAAATTAATAATCTACTCATTGAGATGATTCCAACAATTACCCACAAGATTATATTTTTTCTTATGTATAAATCACAAACATTAGTCAAAGTAGGATAAATGAATAGTGCAAAAAATAGAAATGGAGTAAGTATTTAAAAACGGAGGGAGTATCTTGTATGTCTAAATTAGAAGTTAACTAAGGTATCTTCATGTTATGTAGCCACACCAATAATACGGATCGATTGTCCTGTAGGATACAGAGTATGATGCAAAAAGGCTTGTTAGCTTTAGAGCCGTGTTTTTCTTCCTTGCCTTTGGGTGCTTTGAACCTTTGGGTTCTTAGTGGATTAATGATGATTTCATAAGTTCTTGGTGGATTAAGAATGATTAATACGCTTGGGAGTTTAACGAAAGATTAATCCTTTGTGGATTAATAATGATTTGATTGTGTTAATATTTTAAATTTTGATTATTTTTCTTAGTAAAAGTTTTGTTTGCTTCAAAATCTGAATTAATTGTCCGTAAAGATGAGATCATGAGGAGCATGAAGCGCACTTGCCTGCGTGACCATATCATCTTCCCTAGTATAGAAACACTCGTACTCAGAGAAGGGTGATTTAAACGATGGAAAACCCTATAGGTTCAGACGTAAGTGAGACTAGCCTCGTGAACAGAAACTGGCTGGGTGGCACTGCTAGGTGTACAGACTGTACACCCTTAACACACAAGTTGCTAATCTTTCCTCTAGTCTGCTTCATGGGTATAGAAACACAGATTTCTAAAATTCAATTACCTTTTGCTAATAAAAAAGATACTCTCAAGGTCAAGGTCAATCAACAAGGTTCCAAAGCTTGCATTTGTAGGATAAATAAAATAAAATAAAAGATTCCTAAGCTTGGCTCTGTTAAATTTCGAAACAATATGAAATGGGCCTGGGCAACCCGAACAAGGAGGAGGAGAATTTGGTCCACAAACTAGGCTTTGGAGCTTCCACACTAAAACCAATTGGCAATAGTAGGAGTAACTCCTCTACCTTATAAACTGAAACCACCTCTCCTCTTTCTCCAATGTGGGACACTCACAAGTGGGTTACAATGGGTTTCAAAAGTCTCCCTCACTTGTGAGTGTCCTTAGAACTTAGAGCACACCAGAAGGTACAATATAATCCTCATTGGGAATGAACATCCAATGGAGGCCCCTTAACCATTGACAAATACCCATTTTTTGAACGGCCCAACAAACCTAGGCTCTGATACCATGTTAAATTTCAAAACAATATGAAATGGGCCTAGGCAACCCGAACAAGGAGGAGGAGAATTTAGTCCACAAACTAGGCTTTGGAGCTTCCACACTAAAACCAATTAGCAATAATAGGAGTAACTCCTCTACCTTATAAAGTGAAACCACCTTTCCTCTTTCTCCAATGTGGGACACTCACAAGTGGGTTACAATGGGTTTCAACAGGCTCATTTAAGATTTAAATTAACAAGGGGTTAAACTGTAATTGCTCCATTCACCAACACAAAGGTTTTCATAAGACATAAGCTTCACTCACCAATTATCAAGAAGAAAACGCAAACAAATAAACAAACAAATATAAATAAATAAAATGCAAGATTAATTTTCGCATGCTACCAAACAAAACTTGAGATACAAGTCAAATAAATTCATTTAAATGAAAAAAAAATTCAGAATCAGATGAAATATAACATTAGGTTCACTTGACCAATCAAAGCCTATTCACAAATGAAAAGTAATAAACTCTTCCAAGACATAAGCATGTAGATATCCCAACCCATTATATCATGTACTTATACATAAATAATAAAAAATGAGCAACCCCCTTATACACTCCACTATATATCAATGCATTAACATTATTAAGATTGCAAATAATTTATCTCCAAGAAAGATGGAAAGGGAAGGGAAAGAAAGGGAGGGGGAGGTGAACTCCATTTTCCCTCCAAATCTCTCCAATTTTGGAGGGATTATGCTTATTAAAGAGAGAGGGAAAATGGATCCCTCCCTTCCCTCGATTCTTTATTAAAAAAAGAGAGTTTGTCTTCCTCCCTTTCCTTCCCTTCTTTTCCTTCCATTTTCTTCTATCCAAAAAAGTGTTAATTATGTTGCTGACCAAGATAACAAAAGTACCACATATTTAACGATGTAATTAGAATTGATTCTCCTTTATATTTTAGAGACACATGACATGCATCCACCACAAATTCCTACAGAAACTAAGAGTTTATTTGGTAGGACCTTTTAGAATGGGTTGGAAGGAATTATAATGCATTCTATCCATTTTAATGTTTGGCTATGCATTTTAGGTACGGAATCTAAGAGGTTTCTAATTCTATCCAATCCCGCTAGAATCTCATACCCACATATTGAAATGAAAAATCATTCTAACATATAAACCAGTCAACTTCAAATTAGTATCCCTAATATGAGATTTCGAACCAATCCATCCAAACTCAACGAATCAAACGGCCCCTAGGTAGCAGCATGACCTGCATCAATTTCTAATTATCGCTGCTGGTTTTTTCACTAGTTCTGGTCTTCTAGAAAAACAAAAGGCTATAGAGCCATCCCACGAAAAAGATGCATCTACTACTCGTTGATAAATAGCTGCATTAATGTACACCCAAAACTTCAGTCCTTCATAGCCACTTTTCAATCTAAAAGCAGTCTTCTCTCTTGGGATCTAGCATATTTAGTTACTGTCCATACATTGTAAACTATTTTAATGCCAACAACCTTGAAAACAAAGACACCAGATGCTACATTTTAGACGCATATTTCCCACCTATACTTCTAAAGGGAAGAGAAAAATATGTGTCCATGAACCCATATGATAATGTATAGATCCAAATGCAGATTCTCCCGTATCACTGTTCCCATCAAAGTGTTGTTTCAGATTAATGATTGACCTCCCTATAAGCTAACAACGGACATCTACAGGGGATGTTAATACATCATTTCTCCAGGCTTATTATCAATAAGTATTAGCAGGAAATCGTTACCTGCATTCCTTCCACACCACTGATACCAACTCCAATATTAGCCTCTTGAATCATGCCAACATCATTTGCCCCATCACCGATTGCCAATGTTGTTTTACCTGTTTGTATTTTGACCAATCTTGTCACCTGTATATTTTCTACATCTTTATTAGATTATTTGGGTCAATAGCTCTTGCAATATTTGCAACTGACTGTAAAGAGAAATTAAGTTTCTTCAAGAAAGAATCTTACAAGAGCTTTCTGTTTGGGTGAAGAACGACAGCATATAACTGAATCACAGCCAGTTGCAACATCTAGAAAAGATATTTCTAGATTTTTGTCTAGAGCGTAAGCTAGAGATTTCCCATCAATTATCAATCCAAATTCAGTGCGAGTGTCTTTTGCATCTCTATTTTGTGACTTGGCAATCCTAATTTGAGACTTGGCATCACCCAATTGCTTCCTTACACTATCCAGGGAAGCCTGTAATGAGTAAAAATTATAAGCAACTAACAAGAAAAAGTTATAATAAATTTTATACACTATACCAATTGACCTTTGCAATGGCTTCCTTGTCACCACGTCTTTCCAATGAAATTATTTCCGGTGAATCCAGCGAGATCACAATTTGCTTCATACCTTGCCTTAATAGGCTACATGCATAACTGCAATGGTTTGATTTTGAAGCATAAATATGCTACACACATAATTAGACTCATCGAATAGTCTTTTAAAACATATCATTAGAAAACACGTAAGAAAATTTGTTAGAATACAATGTCACCATACCCAATATTAATTGCTGTTTCCATCTTATCACCAGTTAGGACCCATATACTGATGCCTGCCTGGGCAAGTTTCTCAATGCATTCAGGCACCTGTTGCACAAGTAAAAAAAGAGGTCAATAGTTTTTCAACAAAGGAGAAATTATACTTCAAATCTTAGCTCTCCTTCACTGGAATTATAGCAGTAGGCATTACAATAGTTTTATAATAAAATTGAAAAAAAAAAGGCTGATTGGCGATGCCAGCTAAAAACATCAAGAAGAGGGGAATCTACAGAATGGTTGGATCATATACCCCCTTTTGCAGTTTATCCTCAAGAGCTGTAGCGCCAAGTAGAATCAACTGCTTTTCAATCTTATCAGCAGCTGCGTCAACCAATGCATCTCGGTCAGCACTTACAGAAGTTTTGGCATTCTGAAACTCCTCCTCCCACTTTGCAAACTCTTCTTCATTAAGCTCGCGATATGCAACTACCAAGGTTCTTAAACCTGCCTCAGCATATTTCTTGATATGAGCCTTAACCTCTGCTTCAAATTGCCGCCCTTCTTCAGATAGTCTCTCAAACATTACACTACAAATGCAGACAATTAAATAAAAAAGAAACCTCTAGAATAAAACTTATATACTCATAATAAACCAGAAAGAAAAAAGAAAAATAAGTTCTGTCCCAACCTGTCTGCCCCTTTGCACAGAAGGAGAAGCGTTTTTTCTTCATTTCGGACGATTACAGACATTCTTTTGCGTGAGCTACTGAATTCTAGAACATGAAGAAGTTCATACACCCTGGAAATAGAAAAAGTCCTTAAGAATCAAGACAAATAGCTTATCTTCCTTCACAGAATCTGAAAACAACTTGAATTTTTAACTACAAAAAAATTCATTTCACAGAACAGAACAAGTACTGTAAGCAAGACCAATATTAATATATAGGACGAGTGTATTCTGAGCTGGAATCCATTGATCAAAATAGATTATCACCCCCAAGCTGAATTGGCCTTAAAAATAAATTCAACAAAGCAATGTAATAGTCAAACCTAGTGTTCTGCATTCCTTATTAGCAAAGGAAGAACTTAGGATCAATAATTTAATTTTGTTTACTGAACCAAAAAATATAAACAAAGGATGAATATTTCTATTTTTGTTACAATCACTATTTCCACATAAAACATGCTGCATATATTTAATGGTTATTATAATAGGTTGATATTGTGAAAATATATTTCATGAGTTTCACTAGACCTCAATGACTGTATTTTTCCTTCATGTATAAATCACAATGTGGTTAAAGAGGAATGTGTGAATAGTGTCATAATTGCAAACCTTGCAATGTTAAAAAACAGAGCAAGTATTCTAACTTCTTAACTCTAAGATTCAGTGAATCAAGTATATGTATGGTGAGCAATTATAATAATCTGATTCACCATATTGCTTCAAAGCTGATAGTCCATGGTTCACATATTTTGACTTAACAAGAATGAGCTCATTCTCCATATATTTGTACATAAACAGTGTAACTCAGGAAAGTATTTGGATGCCAACCAATGAATATAGAAGCTCACCTATCTATCATTTGTCCAGTCTCATGGTCCAACTCATGCAAAAATATGCTCGTCTGTGTCCTTCTGAAAAACTCAAAACCAAGCTCCTTTGCAGATATGACAAGCGCTGCTTCGTCAGGTGACTCAGCCTCATAGGAAATTTGACCTGTTTCCTCATGGACATCAGGAATGGCTGTATGGCAGATTGCCAACACTCTGAAAAATTTCTGTATCATATGTGAATGAGGTTCTTTGACCCACCTTCCATTCATGAGGCGTTCATCATTAATATTAAAAGCTTTGGCTGGCTTATCAGAGGTATTGTGGTCACTTCCTGCACCCAGTACCCCAGGGGGAATTAGTTTCCCTTGTCTCTTGGCTAGAGCAGCCTCTACTTCAGTCATCCCTTGTCCGTATGATATACCAGCTATGGAACATTTGACAAATTCCATAGAGTTGCATGTTAATGTACCAGTCTTATCAGATAATATAGTATGTACTTGACCAAGCTCTTCATTCAAATTTGAAGTACGTGCATGAGCAGGCCTATCAGTTTCCTCACAATACATATGCTGATCCTGATTTATGAAAATACACTGTAGGACCTTGACAATCTCAATAGATATGTACAATGAGATGGGAACCAAGTAGCCATAGAGCATGAGGTCAGTTAGCAAATGTAGAAAGGCAGCTAAAGCTGCTCTTTTCGGGTCAAAGAGGACAGTAACCTTATCTGGTCGAAGATACCACCTTCTCAACTTTCCATCATATATATCCTTTTTAGTTGTAATACCAAAGAAAACAGACCCAGTAAAAGATATCACAATAACAAAACTGAAAAGAATATAGATGACTTTATCCAATCGTTTTTCAATCCCACTTCTCTTTGATGGTGGATTGATAGCATTCTGCATTACTTTTGTGTCATGTCCAGTGAAAACCACCACACCATAAATATGATCAGTATTCCGGAGTTTAGAGTCTCTCAGAAGAAGTTGTTGCAGAGAAAGAGGATACTGCTTTCCATTATAGTACAAGGTTCCAACAAAAGAGTACAGATTTTCATTGGGATCTTCACACTTGGTTAGTGCCTTAAATTGACACAAGGAGCTTTCATCTTGCAAGCAGGATGTGACTTCCAAAGCATGCTTCAACTTCAGATTTGTTTCTCCATCAAGATTTGAGGTCTCTACATAGCAGATTCCATCCTCATAATTTGAAGAGAGGAAGAGCAAATCAGCTGGAAAATGTTCATCCTTATACACTTTAACAACATCACCAACCCTAAGTTCTTTCCACTTAGATTCAACAAAGATTTGATTGCTACCATCAAATAACTCAACCTGCCGATTATTTGCCTCTATGTCCTGGAAAAATTGAAATAATTTAAATTGATTAACCGGACAAGATTAATATAAAGGCAAAAAGTATGAAACATCGAAAGAGCTTTAATGATTTATATGTAGTATGGATCACAGATTTCACTTGCATGATATTTCCTCAGTACACTCATTATAGAAAAATAATATCTTGGAGAAAAAGACAAAATAAATTTAAATTAAAAAAATAGTATAAAAGATCTAAATGAGCCAAGGCAAGCACTAAACAATAAGAAGATGATAATATCAAATTTTAGCAACAAATTCACATTCATGCATTTTCTTTGAGTATTGAATATTTGGAAAAATTGAAAAGAATAATCCCACCTTTAACACATCTTCTCAAAACAATACCACCTTTGTGTATTCCATAAATAGTCCCACCTTAACACCTCCATATTCTTAAAAAAAGCCTTTTTACCTTCAACCTATTTTACAAGTTTTTTTTTTTTTTTTAATCTTTTTTTTGCACCTCACCCTCAACATCCAACCACCATGACCACCCATCACCACTGAACTAACTACCTTCCCACCATCGCCACCAAAATGACCAACTGAGATGCAACCCTAGCCCCCCCTCATCACCTGAGCCACACCTTTGCCAAATCCCACAACTCTCCTAAACATCAAGCTCAGAGGTTTGAATTGGAAACCTCGGTCCCACCCATCACCATTGAATTCGTTTCGGTCAATCTCCAAGGTCAAGCTCCGAGGTTTCCTCTTTGTTGTCTTTCCATGGATCGTTGCTCTGTTTTCCAAGCATTTCAACGACGGAATTTGACAATTTTTTATGATTCCCTCCAATTTCAATTTTAAGGGAAGGGGCTGCCATGTCCAATCCCCACCCCAAATCCCCTCTTAACCTCCAAATTGAAACAGAAACCTCGTTTAGGTGTGGTGTCTGGGCCCAACAGCAAAGGGAATCAGACCTTTGTCCGGCCTAAAACTTGATCAACGGCGCCGGCTACGCGACGGAGTTTCTCGGCGGCAGAGGAAGTGGAAGGGGGAACGGAAAGGGGGAATCGGTGGAGAGGATGTGGAAGAGGGAAAGAAAGGGAATCAAGGAGGGTGGATGGGTCCGGCTTGTCGGCGAGCAGCTGGGTCCGGCGAGGGAGGGGCTCCGGCAGCGTAAGGAAGAAGGAGCTAAGGATTATTTTTTTTTTGTTTATTTCTTTGTTTTTTAAAAAAAAAAAACAAAAACCAATTAACAGACGACACGTGGAAAAAGACCTTCTAAACAGGTTACCAATTTCACTACCACGTAAAAGACCATTTTGAGAATATGTGGTACAAAGGTGGGATTATTCCTGGAATACGCAAAGGTGTGATTATTTCTGGAATACGCAAAGGTGGGATTATTTTGAGAAGATGTGCCAAAGGTGGGATTATTCTTTTCAATTTATCCTATTCTAATTTACATTTACACAACAATTAAGCTTCAACAAAAATTTAACAATCTCTGTGTGAGGAGAGATGCATTTGATAAAATAAACCTCCTAAAATATAATTTAACATTACAAATTTCTCAACACATAATAACTAGTAGAAATGAAAACTAAATCTACGAGGATCACGTTATTCACTTCTTATGAAATCTTACTCCACGTCTGTAATGGAATCGTATAATGCTTATTTGAAAAATTACATCCTCTAGCAACACTCTCCTTTATATCCTTGATCTAGCTAAAAAAATATTGTGCTTGACAAATATACATTACACTCAAACATCTTTTCATACTTGAAAGAAAAGCTCAGAATTCCCTCAAAGGTTGCATGAGATATGCCCACAGCCCTATGTATAAAAAGGCTCAAGGCGCAATCAGGCGATGAAGGTCCTGCTGCGCCTAGGCTTGCCTTTGGAAACTTTGGTGTGCCTCTTTGAATAGGCCCACTATAAAACATTCAATAACACTTCTTATGTGTGCCTCTTTGAATGTGACTTGCCTAGAGAAAGAAAGGCACTCTACCCTAATCACCAAGCACCTCAGCACAAGGCGTGCCTTCCTACAGCCTCATCCTTTTACAACTGACCACAATAGCAATATCTACTTTTCAATTTTTTATTACATCTACCCAAGCCATGATGATGTCCGACTAATGAAGACCTTAAGATATTATACTATAAAAGAATGTAACCAAAAATTGCACAAGACAACCCATGGCATTGAATTAAAAGATCAACCAACTTTGTAGCCTAAGTAATTGTAAGGAACTAAATTAAATCTACATAGATGAAGTTGAATAAAAGGGAACTTGGGTTATAGAACCAAAACTAAAATATGTACCAAGAAGAAAAAAAGACACCAAATTATCTCATGTGTGTAGAATGTAGACACCATACAATCCAAATAAACAATTTGTACATGACCTTGAATGAAATATAAAGTTACACCCGAAAGATGAGGTTAGGGCAGAGGGCCAGGGAGACCATTTAGGTAAGATCTTTGTGAAATGAGAGCAACTAATAAGACCATACAATCAGTTTATGTAGAATTGTTCCTATCAAAATTTGTAGAATGTAGACACCATACAATCCAAATTAATAATTTATACGATCAGTTTATGCAGAATTGTTACTATCGTTGGTTTATTATGGCACATAGACTGATATTTTGGTGTAAATGTGTATGTACACTGCTCACCTTAGCCCATTAGAAAGGTTATTAATACCTATAAGGCCATTGGAAGATCATGAAGATAGAGACCTTTTCCAATATGAAAAATGTAAACTAAGGATGGTGGTATTCCTATTGGCATCAAATATGTTTGACAAACTTCAAACTTATTTTACCAATAGTATTTTCAAGGGAAAAAAAAAAAAAAAAGAAGGCATTCCAAATAAGGCAGACAATAACTGTCATCATTGACACAGATATGTAAGCTGCTAATCTGACTGTGTGAAGAACTCAAGTATGCTGATGGTGATTCTATATTCTGAATCTCAGAAATGTATGTTTTACCATAGCTGCATTCTCAATTGCAATATTTTTAATGTACCTTTTGGCAATCCTAGGTTTGACACAGATTTCTTTCCTAAACAATCTTATTATGTCAGTATCCAATACTGATACACAAGTAAATACAGCCCATGGTAGAGTTAGCAGAGATAGCTCTACAACATGAAAGCCAGTGATTGGTTTTCTTAATTTACAACAGGTCCTAGGATCCAAGTAAGATATATTTGGGGGTGTTTGGTATAAACATTGTAAATGAAACGGAAAGGATTCAAATAAGGAGGGGAAAGGGTAATGATAAACGTTACCTTTAATATATGTTTGGTAACCTAAAGGAATGGAAACAATTTGAGGAGATTGTGATTGAGTAAGGAAACGTATTTTGTTTCCACTAGTTTGTCAAGGGTAACAAATAGGGGGATTTTGTTACCCTCCAGAAACGGTATTTGTTACTTTTAACCCATACCAAACAACTAGAAATGGAAACACTTAATTGAATCCGATTCCTACATCTAAAATTACTATACCAAACGCCCCCTTAGTGACTTTTGAAGTTCCGAGTGAAGTTTCATTTCATGGATTTGACCAGTTTGTTCAAATTAATTTAATTTAATTGAATTGGATACTGCACTTTTTCTCCTCTTTATCACTCAAGGATTTTCAGCTTGCAACTACAATTAAGCAACCTAATTGTAGACACTATGCCAACAACATATACGCTCAACTTAGACCTCACAGTTAAGAAATTCTTACACACTAAAGCCGTATGAAGAGAATGTAGAACACTAAAATGATCATTTTATATAGTTTGGTAGTCACTAGACACATATTAGTAATTTGAAATTTAAATATACTCTCTTAGGTTGTCATGATACAAAGAGGCAGAAGAGAAGGAGGAAATTTCACCCGTTGATCCAAAGTTCACAATCACTTCCACCCTTCTCATTTATAAAACAAACTTTTCAAGACCAAATCAAGAAAATCGAAGCCCAGATTCAAGAATTTGTGTTAAAGAACAGGATAAATATTTTCTTCATTAAGTTGGTGGTGGGTCTCAAGAAACTATTCATGCAATGCCACGAAATAGTCATATTAATTTAATTTAACCAACTGATTATCAACTGGCCTTTGAGCTAGAAGCTTTGCAAATTTTGAGGGAAAACCAGAACCTACTTAACATTTTTATCATAGCTACCTTCCAAGGAATATTTTGTAAAAATAATTAGTAATCCACCAAATTTTCACATTACTCTTCATGGAAGAGTATTTTCTGCAGAAAAGATAACGGACATGTAAGGCTCTAGAATCAAGTTGAAATGAATTTGTGAACTGGGGAGCATAAGTTAATTGTCACTCACTCACGTTCTAATTGAGGGCTTTTCCTCATCGATGGTGGTAATTAACCCAAAAGATCGCACCGAATTGTGAAAGAAAATTCGCAGAAATTTTGAAGCTGGGGAAGAACATAAATCAGAGGGATGTCAGTGAGCTGTGGTGGGGTGGATGTTGCCCACCTAACATTCTCATCCCCTCACATAACCACTCCCACAAAAGAAGAAAAAAAAAAAAAAAAAATAGAAGCTTCTTCAGTGGCCTGATAAAATGACATTATTACAAACAGTTATGCCACAAAAAAATCTCTTCACATACACAATCATCTAAACTCAGAAATCATACTCCAAAAAATAGAAAAAAAAAAGTATTTATAAACCTACAACAAAGATGTCTTCAAAAAAATCATAAGGAATTAATGACTCAAAAAATGCATATTCATCCACTAGTACAGTTGTACCTGTTTCAATATCACATTCATCCTCCAATCCTCTAACCAGTTTAGAAATCCCCCCTCCTCTGCCACATCATCCATGGCGGGTATGTTTTTCTTCTCCATCCCACCCCACCCCACCCGAACACCCATTGAACCCAGACCCCCGCCGGAATAGGGTGGTCTCCTATTTGACCCACCTGACTAACGCCGACATTGCCTTTTATTGATAAAGCGAATATTTCATTGAATCACTGCTATTTAGTATTGAAGCGTAATGTAGAGATGTAAGAATTCCTCAGGTTGTTGATTTAAAAAGAAAAAGAGTGGGATGGAAATAATTGAATAATATAATTAAGGAAAATTTTTAAATTACCACCAAAAAATGTAACCATTTTCGAACTAACAACCCATTTAATTTTTTATTTTAAATTATCACCCCTTAAATTAAATAAATGCTCAAATTACCACCCATTTCAAAAATCTGGTGGATTTTCCGTCTGTGGGCCCCACCTAATGCTTATTTTGACCCTTTTGACTGATTTTTTTTCCCAAATTTTTCTCTTTAAAAACGCTCTTCTAACTTCAGTTCACATTTTTCTCTTTCAAATTTGGTAGAATTTGGTGAAAGAAATGTAAATTAAAGTAAAGAGAACGTTATTAAAGAGAAAAATCGGGGAAAAAATTAGTCAAAATAAGTGTTAGGTGGGGCCTACAGACGGAAAATCCACCAGATTTTTAATATAGGTGGTAATCTGAGCATTTATTTAATTTCAGGGGTGGTAGTTTAAAATAAATAATTAAACGGGTGGTTAGTTCGAAAATGGTTACATTTTTGGGTGGTAATTTAAAAATTAATCTATAATTAATTTCAGAATGTAAAAAGGACAGTTTTGAAGAAATAGGAGCCTTGTAAGCAGTGACATGCAACACCGTGCTTATATCGGTAATAATTCCATCTCCAGCTTTAGCAATGAATTATATGATTAACTCGATTTTATGCAGTGACATTGGCCCTTCAAGTTAGTTTAGATTAACAAACTAGGATAGCAATTTCAGAAAGAGATACCCGTATACAACATCACTAACCAAACTTCTAACCAAACAACTTATTATGAAACTCCAAACAACAAAAATCCAGCCCAAAATTTGAGAATTCACTACATAACCACAAACCCACAATTTCCATAATTTAAAATGCCGCACTTTAGGAACCAAATAACAAAAAGTATTACCTTGGTCGTAATTCCAAACCTTAAATCTTTAACCTTATGCAATCTACTTATTGGCAGAGGGACATAAAGAATGGTAGTATAGTGAACAAACCAATGCATTGCCCTGTTCGAAAGAACAAGAAATATATAAAATTGAGCTGAAATTTTATGTACACATCTTGACCGGAGAATTGCCCTCAACACAATTAAGCTGAAGGAACAAGCCAAGAGCAGGACAACCAATACCACGCATTACAGACTTGTTATGCTTTGTACATAGGGCTTAAAGTTCAAATCTACCCAAATTTTGCAATACAAGGGTACAACATGAGCAACACTTTCTAGATATAGCAACCACAAGATTCTAATTTACGTATATTGAGTATTTGGTTGGGTGTAATATATTAGGATTCTAATCTTTCTACTTTACATTCTTCCCATTTTCCTTTGTTTGGTTTGTGAAGGGATGGAAATCAGTTTCCCAAAGGTGGAAAATAACTCACTTAAAAAATAAAAATCATATTCCTTCTGTAAAGAAGGGAAAGCCACATATTCCCCTTTCCTCATTACTTCCTCAATTCTCTCCTCCCATCCATCCTAACAACTTTTCTTGTAAGAAATCAAACAAAGAAACTCAAGTTTGTTCCTTTTCCATGGAAAATTATTTGATCTTAAATGTTTTCCATCAACCCAAACCCAGCCTAATTTCAAATCCAAAATTCGTAAATGTAAACAAGGATTTAATCTTAAATATTCTTTGCTCCAAGAAAAATGAATCTCTTGTCTACTTAATCACAAATTCGTAAATTCAAACCAGGATTCATTCTTATCTCAACACATAAAGTATGTATTCCACAAACATTATAATCCCTACAAAGCTTACAATTCGAGAAAATCAACAATTGCAAAAACTATGAGAACCAACAAAAATCATATGCAAGACTATAAATCCATAAACATCAAGTCAAAAGTCAAATTAAAGAGAATGTACCTGCTTTTTTCGCCTCCAATCTTCGACAGCCTCCTTCGCCATAGTAGCTCCAACAACAACAGCCAAAGGGAAAGCAATACTAACAGCAGCATAAGGTGCCAAAGGACTAAAAGATACACAAGCAACAATAAGAAAATACAAATTCGCAACTCGACGAAATTGCTCAAACAATGATTTGGGTATGAAATTAACAGCAGTATATTTAGTAGTAGATACATAATTCCCCCTATAATTTAGCTGAATTGCTTCTGGGTTATCTGGATCATTACAATGCACCACTCTTGCATAACCCCTTTGCCCAATTTGTGAATGTTCTTCATTAAAACTTGGTTTTATACATCCAAATGAATACAATTTGCTAAGTAATACATCCCTTTTTCTGCTCCTGCCTTCCATTTTTGTTACAACCTTCCAAATCGTCAAAAAAGTAATATAATCGAAACCAAAACAAAACAACAATTTCTTTTAGTAGATCAACTAACATACCCACATAATTTTTGAAGCTTCTAACATAGTAGTCGTCTACAGACGACTTCTGTACCACAAAAGGATCTCATAAATTAACCAAAATACAAAACTGTGAAAAAGGGCTATATCTAACAATCAACATTTAGTTTTTGTTTGTTTTTTTAGAATGAAAAGGACCTAAAGTAACGTATGTGTTTTGAACGTTGAATTTGTCTGCTTCAGTAACTAAGCAAAAATCTTTGTAAAAAAAAATATAATAAATAATAATACAGGGGTTGTTGTCAAAATAGGGGAATTTAGATTAATTTGGGAAGGAGTTCGGGAATATCCCTTACTTGTGAGCAATTTATTTATTTTTATTTTTTTTTTTTTTTTGTTTTTTTTTTTGTGTGTGTGGACAGTGAGAACTACCAAAAAAAACAACAAGCTAACTTAAAAGGACCAAAAAAGAAAATTTTCGACGACGAGCTTGACCAGCTAACTAGTGTGCCGGAGAAATCCAAAGTCGGGGTACCTTCACAATCCAACAAGCTACAAACGAATCGAGCAACTGGCGTAGATCCCAAAGGAGCCACTGCACAAAAATATCATCACGTATGCATTTACCTAGCATAAGGCACATGAAAGCCGAGTTAGTGTAGATAAGAACCCGAAGGATACCCCGGTGACGAGCGCTGCGGAAACACCAATAACAAGCATGCAACTCTGCATGTAAATGGGAAATGCCCAGAGAGGCACGTGAACCTCGACCCAAAACCTCTAAAGAAACGAGCCTACGGAAAATCTTGTTGGCTTTAGATGAGTCCAACTCGCCACGAAAGAAAACCCGAGCCAAGACTACACTCACAATTAATATAATCACAAGACATAATTAACTTAATTAACAAGAATTAAGGAAAGATTAATTACCTTTGACGCGTGCTTCGCTCGTACCCTCGAGCTCTTACATGAGAAAGCCTTTAGTCTCGCACGGGCGAAACCTCCAACGGCATCCACCCGCAACTCGACCTCTACAAGGTCTATTGCTTAGAGGTTACCTAAGCTCGACCTAATACTTGAGTAATTATATGTGTTTAAAGGTTTTTGGAGATGCCTTTTCTAACACCTTAATCAAGTGAACAATCCAAATGTATGCCATGGCTATTTATAAGGAGTGCTTCCTTATGAATTCCACTTATCTTTCAATGTGGAATTTTTTTCACAAAAATTCAAGATCCCACATAGAAAGAATGTTGAATTCAATCCTTAGTTAAATAAACCAAGGAATAACAAAGAAACAAGTGTCACCTGGCTAAGTGAGGACCACTTCCTCACTTGCTCCCCAAGGCAACTCACATGCATTGTGATCTAACCACGTGGCACCCAACCTTGAGCCCCATGTTGGGTTCGGTTGGGCCGTCACCTTTTGGCCCGAGTCCGCGGCCCGTTGCCACATGGCATTGCCAACGTGGCATGCCGCTACCTTGGCGCGCCGCCATGTGGCACGCGCGTCGCCATGTGGCACACACGCCACCTTGGAGGCTTGCACGTAGCGCGCTACCACTTGGTTGCTGCCACTTGGTGGCTGCCACATGGCGCTCAATTGGTGGCTGCCATTTGGTGGTTGCCACGTGTTCTGCCACATGACGCACATCTATTCGGCGCGCTTCCCTATACTTTCGCGCAGCTAGGCATGTGAAAACGCCGCTTGACATGTTTGACTTTCTGATGTTCCCTTGGCGGAGCAATAGCTCCATTGTTGTCACAATAGAGGGTTATTGGACCCTTGATTGAGGGTACAACATCAAGTTCACCAACGAACTTACGAATCTAAATAGCCTCCTTAGCCGCTTCAGCAGCTGCCAAGTATTCGGCTTCAGTTGTAGAATTTGCAATTGTGCTCTACTTAGCACTCTTCCAACTAAACGCTCCTCCATTTAGACAGAATACATATCCAAATTGCAATTTGAAAGCGTCTCTGTGTGTCTCGAAGCTCGCGTCAGTATAACCTTCAACAACTAATTCCTCTGAACCACCACACACCAGGAATTTATCCTTGTTCCTTTTTAGGCACTTTAGGATATTCTTGGTCGCAATCCAATGGGCCTCTCTTGGGTCTGATTGGTAACGGCTCGTAGCACTCAAGGCGTACAATGCATCTTTCTTAGTACATATCATGGCATACATGATCGATCTAATAAATGAAGTATATGGAATCTGATTCATCCTTACCCGCGCATCAGGTTTCTTTGGACACTGCTTCTTGCTTAGGGTTATGCTATGTGACATGGGTAGGTGATCTCTCTTAGCCTCCTCCATGCCAAATCGAGCCAGTACCTTATCAATATAATTACTTTGGCTTAATCCAATCATCCTTTTCGATCTATCCCTATAGATCTTGATGCCTAGTATGTACTGAGTCTCTCCCAAGTCTTTCATTAAGAACACTTTCCAAGCTAGGCCTTTACAGACTCTAAAAACAAAATGTTGTTTCCAATTAGTAATATGTCATCGACATATAAGACTAGGAAGGCGATGTCACTCCCACTGACCTTCTTGTAAACACAAGATTCATCTGGATTCTTGATAAAACAAAACTTAATGATGGCTTCATTGAATAAGAGATTCCAACTCCTACGCGCTTGCTTTAGCCCTTATATGGACTTTTTAAGCATACAAAATTTCCCAACATTGTTTTGGTCGACAAAACCATCAGGTTGTATCATATTTCATAGTTATAATATCATTGAGGAAGGCGGTTTTGACGTCCATCTGCCATATTTCATAGTTATAATATGCAGCAATTGCTAGGAGGATCCAAACGGATTTAAGCATTGCGATTAGAGAAAAGGTTTCATCGTAATCAATACCTTGAACTTGTCTGTAATCTTTTGCTACCAATCTAGCTTTGTAAATGAATACATTTCCATCTTTGTCGGTTTTCAACTTGAAAATCCACTTACATCCGATAGGTATGTAACCTTCATGTATGTCAACCAAATCCTAGACTTGATTTTTAAACATGGAATCCATTTCAGATCTCATGGCCTCTTGCCATTTAGCAGAGTCGGTGCTTGCCATCGCTTTCTTGTAGGTTGTCGGTTCATCTCCATCCATGATCAGAATGTCCTGATTCTCGATTAATACTATACCAAGTTATCTATCAGGTTGAGATCTCGGCCTTTGAGACCTACATAGGGTAACGGACTAAGCATTCTCATTGTCGGATTGACTTTGCACATTTTGATCATTTTGACCTACGTCAACAGATGTTGTTTGAGCACTTTGACTGTCATTCTGATTTTGTTGCTCATCCCCTCGAACTTCGTCAAGTTTGATTTTTCGTCATTTTTGAAAGGTGCTCCTTCTCCAAAAAGACACCATAGCGAGCAACAAAACTTTGTTCTTCGATTTATTGTAGAAGTAATACCCTTTGGTTTCTTTTGGGTAGCCCACAAAGTAAACCTTGTCAGATTTGGGATGAAGTTTGTCAGAAATCAACTTCTTGACATATGCTTCGCATCCCCATATCTTTTGAAAAGATAACCTAGGAGGTTTCTTTGTCCATAATTCATATGGAGTCTTTTCTACAGCTTTTGATGGTGCACGGTTCAGTGTTAGTGCCGCAGTTAGATGTGTGTGTCCTTAGAATGAGATAGGAAGATCACTAAGACCCATTGTTGATCGTACCATGTCCAACAAGGTTCGATTTCTCCTCTCGGATACTCCGTTCCATTGAAGAGTTCCCGGAGGTGTCAATTCTAAACGTATACCTTTTTCTTTTAGATGGTTATCAAATTCTTGGCTCAAGTATTCACCACCTCGATCCGATCGAAGGGCTTTGACTTTCTTGCCAAGCTGATTTTCAACTTCACTCTAAAATTCTTTGAACTTTTCAAATGATTCAGATTTATGTGACATTAGGTAGACATAACCATATCTACTATAGTCGTCTGTGAAGGTGATAAAATATCGATGTCCGTTTCTTGTGGCGGAGCTCATTGGTCCATATACATCGGTGTGTATTAGACCTAATAAGTCTTCTGCCCTTTCTCCCAACTTGGATAATGGCTATTTAATCATCTTGCCTAATAAACATCCTTCGCAATTCTCAAAGATTCTAAATCGAAATAGTCAAGAACACCTTTTGTAGAAGTTTCTTGATGCATTTAATGTTAATATGGTCAAGATGACAATGCCAAAAGTATGTCTAATTTGACTCCATGGTCTTAGCCTTTTGGTATCATTATGAACAATTTTTGTCTATACACAAACGTGTCATTCCATAAATATTAGCAAGACATAAAACAAAAGTCTTGTGATCAAAGTCAAAATGACGTCCAACGCCAAAAGATCAAAGTATGGTTGATAAAACTAAACAAGTTTTAAAACTAGACAAAAACATGAGATTACAAGCTTTCTTTGGATAAATTATCTTCATCTTCCACTTGCGTTCTCATATCCACTTGAAAAGCGCCGCTCACTTTGTTCCTGAAATAGGAGCACATAGTGAATCAATTTTCCACTATCTAATACCTTGTAAATTGCTTGTATTCAATTGTAAAGATGATACCTGAGATTGAGGCTCCTTTTCCTCTTGCCTCATCTTCCAGATACTCGCTACATTCTCTCTTGTAGAGTCCTTGCTTACTACTCCCTCCGTCCCTTAATACAATGCCTCTTTCGAGCATTTATTACTCATATAATAAAGAGAAAGAAGCATTGTATTAAGGGACGTAGGGAATACAATAGAAGCAGTGCATCTTAGCCTTACTCTTGAACTTTTTCCTCTTAGGGCTTAGAGCAAACTTAGCTGCTTTGCAAGAATAGGTTTTCTGGAGCTCTTGGACAAATTCCTTGAAGGACAGTTTGTTCCGATTGTTGGTAAGTCGCATCTTAATTGCAACATACCCCGAGTGGTGTGAGCTTAAAAGCATATGAGTCGCTTGCTCATCCTCCACCGGTATACCAATCAATCAGCTCTAAGTGGCTGAATAACCTTGTCATCTTGAGCACATGAGCTTGAAGTGGCATCCCGGACCCAAGTCTTGTACTATAGACTCTAGCCTATACTTCTTTTGTCTCTTTGGTGAGACACCCATCTTGTGGTGGCTTGATCCTCATGTTAGAGAGTGACCTAGTTACCTTCTCCACAAGGTCTTCATAGTTGCCCCTGACACTCTTTGTGACCCTCAGATTGACCACATCTTCTAGAGCCTTCAGGAGTACATCCGGAAGGCAGTTGGAGATTTTCTTCTTC